CTTACCCTCTGCCCTGACCCTGCTCACCTCCTTCCACCCACCTCCGAAGACCTAAGCTTGAGTAGATCTTTCCTCCTTCTAGGACCCCTGGGTACACTCCTGTGAGACTTTGCTGGCATCTGACCTTTTCTTGGTGGTGTATTGTTCTCTGTACTGGCACCTGCAAATGGGGCCTCATCTCCCGGTAGTCACAGCTTTCATGCCCAGGACACCACCTAAGGCTTACGGACTCTCAGAGCGTCCTTGGTGAATGACACATGATAGACATCCCATTCTATCCCTTGGGTACAGGATCTGTGGGCACCCCAGGCAAAATAAAAATATGGGACACTTGTCCATAAACATTAATCAATTCAAGCCAGCCACAGCAAAATGCATAATTATACTCAGGGCCCTTTGGAGGGTGGAGACTGTGCCCTAGCCGGATGGTGGGTGGAACCAGACTTGAGGTGGGCCGGTAGAGCTGGGTGGGTGATCTCGGGTGTGAGTCAGCCCCCATAGTCATCTCAGCTGATCACAGAGTCAGGGCCTTGTCCTGGTAATGCAGAGGACTGTGGGAGTCAGGGAGCACCAGAGTTGAAGCAGTGGGGACAGCATGGCCCTCCTGGCCAGGTGTACCCTGCCTCCATCCAAGTAGCTGTCGAAACAGCCTTGGAGAGCTGAGTGTTTTCCTCATCTATTTTTATTTCCTCAAATCTGGAACCAACAGAGTCCAGTGCCAGAGTGCTGAAGGGTCTGAGCCAGGAGAATGGGGCTCCCGGGCCAATCGGAAATGTCTAAGGAGGTCATCACGCATGTCTTTGGCAGGGGCAGACACTCAATACCCCAAGTGTGGTTGGGACCAGCTGACCTGACAACGCTGAGTCCTAGAAGAGACTAAGGCTGGCCAAGACTGTCAGCACTACTTTCTAGAGGTGTTTTTCCATTGACATCATGAACAGTACCCCACTAGGGATATCATTTTATTGATTCTGTGTGTGAACAGTTGTGGAGGGCCCCACCCAGGGAAGACTACCAGCCACATGACCACTAGGACCTGTGCTGTTTCCACTGCTGAAGCCTGGGTCCGGTGCAGCTCTCAGACTTGTCCTGAGCTTGTTCAAGTGCCAAGTATGCTATGTGTCCTGAGTAGGCCTCCTCCAAACAGAGCAGTCAGGAGCAGGCCACCCCATGCTCTTCCCAGACACAACAAGGAGCTGGGCGATGAGTGACCTTCTGAAGAATTTGGGGTGACAAATAACCATTCTAGACAGATAACTGGGGTCTTGGTGGGAACCCCGGATTCAGCATAGCCCTGTAATTGTGCATTGTGCTTGTTGTTGACACTTTAATGTCTGTGCAGCCTCTGTGTTGGTTCCAGATGTGTGCAATGATGCAGCCTTCCAAGAAGCTCGCAAGAGGTCTGCCATCTGTGTGACAGGTCCCTTCTTGAAGATGGTGGGCACTGTTCCTAAAGAGAGGGCCTCCTGAAGGTAGTGGGGTCCAGGCTGTTGAGTAGTGTGTAGAGAATTGAGCTGTGTTGGCCCCAGGAGACTCTTGACACTTAGCTTCCACAAAAACCACAGAAGAAAGGACAATGTGCCCTTGAAAGACTCCTCCAGAGGGTACCCAATGTTCCTGTGAGAGGCTCCTACAGAGGGGACCCCGTGGCACCAACACCCTTCCCTGCTTCCACAGTGGCCACCAGGCCCCGGAAGGAGAAGGGAGGAGCCGCAGTCATGGGGAATCCAGGTCAAGGTCATGCAGACCTTCCAGCAGTCCAGAAGTGGGAGGGAGCCTCCAGGCTGGGCATGCCGTTCAGAAACTCAGCCTGGATTCAAAGGGTGCCCACGGTTAAAAGCTGGGAGTCAGTGATCCCTGTTTCCTAAAGAGCTCTAGGAAATCCCAACTCTGGGGGACCTGGGTTTCAGAAACTGTTAGCTAGAGGACTTTAAGCAAGGTCTGTCTGTCACCTGTTGGTCCCAATATTAAACAGCACTTGGCAGAGAGCTGGAAGCCAAGAGAGGGGAAAGGGGATTGGAGCTGCGTACATCTGGTCTACCACCCATGGCCACAGGGCCTGCCAAGGGCCGTGGGAACAGGCTAGCCTAAGACAAACATAAAAGCCACTTGCTGTCCAAAGCTCACACATCTACTGTCGTTTTATTTTCCTAGGCCTTCTGGGACGTGGGCACAAATACATGTTCATCTGCCATTTTTGAAATGTCAACTGACCTCGCCCTTTGTGGGAGAGGCAAAGGAGTGTGGTGGTGACCAGGACACTGGCATCTCTCCGTTCAGCTACGAGCAGCACTCGGGGAGGAGCCAGGTGGCCCGTTCTGCTGGCTGCTCAAGAGAAACCCGAACTTCTGATTTGCAAAAAAAACATATTTGGCAATGAATTTGTGTTTTTAAAAACGTGTAAACACCCCTGGGAGTGGGGTTGAGAGGATAGGGAGGCCACATCTGGACCTCCGGTTTGTGGCTCTGGTCTTCAGCCTGGAAAACAGAACAAAAGCTAAATTGTCAGGACAGTGACAGCAGGGGTTTAGAAATTGCAAGGGCTGGAATGTGTTAGGAGCGGTTGCTGGGTCTGAGTCAACAGGGGAAGACAGAGCAGCCTGTCCAAGTATCAGCTGGGATTCTAGAAACATCCATCAGGTGACCTTAGTGCACACTTCAAAGACAGATGGAGCCAGATGAGCGCCGCTCCAAGCTTGGTGGGGCACACACCATTATCCAGGCCTGTGGTGGGCCGCCCACCTCCACAGCTGGTCTGCAAGGGCAGCCCCCAACTGTCCGGGTGACTGGCACTGAATGACGCCAGCTGTGAGGCCAGGGCTGCTTTCAAGTTTGGGGTATGCACCCCCTTTTCTCTCTTGTGTCTCCATTTTATTGGGATGACTAAATCCTTGACTATGTTAGCAGTAAACACAGCTAATTTACCCCCTACCTCTCTGAAGCAGCTGCTGACGGCTGGGCTGTAATTCAATCAAGGCGCTTTGCCATGCAGCCTACCAAACTCAATGTGCTGTTTGGTTCTGTCCCTCCTTGCCTGGAGCCCCACTTCCCCAGGGCCTGGACGATAAACATCCCGTTGATGGCAGAGATCAAGGTCTCGGGTTCTCAGCAGATGAGACTCCGGTGTCCAGGAGTCCCGAGGTGAAGGGAAAGACACAAATACACACATGGTCTGACAGCCAGAACCAAATGTCTCCTTTTATTGCAAAGTCAAACCCCCTTTTTACTCTATTTATACAGATTTTTCACTAAGGACCATTTTGTGCGACAGCTATGGGTACATCGGTCCAACTGTTAATAAATAGTCTTAAATAAGAAAACAAACAGATTGAAGGAAAACGACCCCATTATTCTCCACGAGGAGCCTTTGAAAAGAACTTCAGATGGAAATAAATAATCTCTTCGTCTTGTCACAATTATTTACACATTTAAATGTACAAAGACACTGCCTGCGGGCGGACCAGGGCCATGAGCAGTAAAATGTGCACCAAGAGGGAGTCACACAAAAAGCCCCAGATCTGCCAGCACACAAATTACAAGATGAAACGCTCTTCCTCCACTTATTAGTGGAGGCTGCAGCCCAAGCTACCAAGGAAGAAAAAGTAAAAATAATAACAGAATCAGATCCCAGTGTTTCCAGGATCACAGGCGTGGAGAACTGGTTCCCCGTGAGACCAGGTGCTACAGGGCCATGGGTCCCACCTGGCTAATCCCATTCTTCATGTGGGCGCAGGAAACATTGGCAGACAATCAAGCCCTCGACACAGCTTTTGCCTTTGAAGCTAAAAGCTGGTGCATGACACTTCGGGCACCACAGACCCAGGCATGGTGGGCTTGCTTGAGCCATGACAGGAACGGCCCCTCTGAGGCAGGAAGTGTGGTTAGGAAATGACTCTCAAGTCCATCTGAGTCTAGTACATCCCTGTACCCAGGATCCCTCAAGTTGAGGAACCAATTTGGTTCAGGGCCTTCTGCTAGGGGTTGAGAGTAAGGCGAGGTGGTCGTAAAGGGCAGGACCTGGCTCTGGAGTTGGGCCAGAGAGGTGCCAGAAGGGCTTTACTTAGAGGACACTGCCCTGAATTCCTTGTCCCTGTGGGCTTTGGGCATCCCCTGTGCTGCCTCACCTAGGGCTGGAGTACAAGTTCGGTCCTGCCCTCTGTGCTTGTTCACTTTGAATTTCTCTCATTATATCCTAGCATGGGGCAGGAATTAGGACCAAGGGGCTAGCAGAGCCATTCCAAAATCTGTGTGTTTCACATGTGTGTGAGTGTGTGTGTCTCCCTCCTTCACCCCAACATACCTTCTTGAGGCCAGCACTCCCAAGCCACTTCTAAGCAGACATCCCTCCTTCCGCTCCCTACACAGTAGATTTGGGCAATTCTGGGTAAACACTGGGCCCTGCAGCCTCAGAAGGAAACCAAGTGGAAAGGAGGGGGCCTCCCCAGCATCCACGGGTCCCAGCTTCTGTTTATGAAATCAGAATAAACCAAGGAACGGGGATAAATTGTTTAGGAAAATATATCTGTAACATCCTAACCATTTTCATTCATGGGTTTTATTGTGACATTTTATTACAGGGACTTCTGCTTAGTCTTCCTTCACCACAGACGTTAAACACCCACCCTGGCTATGCCCTTGCTCCTGCTGCAGCTGATGGCCTGGCTGAAGGACACTTGTGATTACCCCTCAAGGACTCAGAGCACCACAGAGACCATGTGGCCAACAGACTCTTTCTCGGAAGATATTTTTCCTGCTAGATGTTGCCTGTGGCAGCTTGTAGGATCTTGTGCGCAGTGTGCCAGAATTACAGACTGCTTGCCAGCCACTGGGCACTCGGGTTTCTAATGCCTTACGTATTTCCAGTGGGGGAGGTGAGGGGAAGGCTCAGGAAAGGTGACAGGTCTGTTCGCTCCTCGCCGAGGTGGGCAGTGAGAGACTAGATGTTGAGACGCCACAGATCTGGAACAACGTGGCCCAAAAGGTCAGGCTCTCAGAAGAGGCTAGTGGCAGCCACAGGCCCGGACCACCATGTTTCTGTACTTCTTCAGGATGACGTTGGAGCTGTCGTCAAAGTAGAGGACAGATATGGCGTTGAGCTGGGTGGGTGCGCAGCAAGGCTTAGGCACCGTGTCCGGGTTGATGAAATGAACCTGCAAGCCACCAACGGAAACCATGGTGAGAGGCGGCGAGGCCTTCTGCGGACTTCTATAGTTCTCTAAAGACCATCAACTGTCTGGCTAAGATGACTATAAATGACAGGTGAGCATGTCTCATGGCCCAACTCAGCCCACGACTGCCTCCACCATGCAGACGAGGGAACCAGCACACACAGTCTTCCTGCACACATCTGATGTGGTAGACACAGCTGGGGCTCCAAACTGAGCCTCCTCCCTGACTGCTGCACATTCAAAAAGCACTCTGTCTTAAGGGATGGGTTGTAGCTCAGTGTTAGGGTGCCTGCCTAGCACACACAAGGCCCTGGGTTCGATTCCCCAGCATCACAACAATTATAAAGACAGGGCTGTTTTTTGTTTTGTTTTGTTTTGTTTTATATATTTGAATCACAAACAAGTTTGAATTACATGACGATCCCAGTTCAAGACAGGGCTGTTTTGCTCACATGTACCTCTGCACCCCACAGAGCAGGAGTCAGACAAGGGAAAACTCAAATGCCTTGCAGATTCCATGTGAGTACCTTTGACGAGCCAAGTGAACCTGGAGGAGGCAGCAGGGAGGAGTGGGGACTGGAGCAAACTGAAGGGAGAGGCCACTCCTGCAAGCTGACCCAGCCCAGCTGGCCAGTCCATGCCATTAAGGATTCATGACCCCATGCCAGACAGGCCAGAGATTCAGTTCTCATGTGTTACCAGGTTGTTTGAGATAGAAGCTCTTACATCCCAGGGCTGGCCTTGAACTTGCTATGTAGCTCTCACCTCCCGAGGGCTGGGTTGAAATGACAGGCCTGAACCACCACACCCAGTTCATTCAGTGAACCCCAGCGCTTTGTGCATGCCAGGCAAGCGGTCTACCACCTGAGCCCAACCCCAGTTCCTGATTTGTTATTAATGGGCAGCTTCTGGGTATTGAGCAAACCAGGAATGGCAAACAAATATATCTCAGCAGCTGGCTTGGCTCTCGGCTCACGGCCTCCAGGCTGTGACCTCTGAGGTGGCTCCTTCCATCTCTTCTGATGGACAGTATCAAACCCTTCCACACCTCTACCCTCCCCAACTTGCTCCTCTTTGAATAAGTGTAACAAAGTCCTCGGTGTGTCGGCTCATTTCCACTGCATCTCACTAGGATGCCCCAAGAAGGTTTTACCCCTGGTCCACATGACCACAGAGGCCTCCTCCCTCCAGCACCGGACACTTTCATGCACCCTGAGGTAAAATGCTAACAGAAGCAGCTGTGCCCCTAGGCCTCTAAGGCCATGGTAAAGGGTGCCTGGAAGAGCCCTGAAGGCAACAGGACACAGCACCGTCCGCGTGCTCAGAGCAGGTCAGATAAGCCACACTGGCGGCGCACCAGGTTCCGACAGCTCATTCCATCCCTGGCTGCAGACTCCATCCCAAATGCAGTTTTGGAGTTTATGGTCCAGGGAACGGGAAAGTTTTGGAAAACCAGTACTTAAAGATAGCCCTTGCTAGCCGGATGGTGGTGGCGGCGCACACCTTTAATTCAGCACTTGGGAGGCAGAGGCAGGTAGATCTCTGAGTTCAAGGCCAGCCTGGTCTATAGAGTGAGCTCCAGGACAGCAAGGGCTACACAGAGAAACCCTGTCTTGGGGTGGGAACGGGATAAAGATAGATATCCCTTGCTGCCTGGTTTGGGGTGCAGGCCTATAATTCCAGCTTTTCAGAGTCTGAGGCAGGAAGATCACAAATCATAACACAGTATGGCATGCTGACACCACATATAAATTCATCTTTATACCACTATATGCCTAAAACATTTTTTTCCAGCCTTTTATACAGCAGGTACCCACAAGAGTCATGACACACTTGGACAGACAGCTGCTCAGGTTCTGGGTAAAGGCAGTAGAAGTCACTCACACTCCCCATAGGCCACCCCTCCCCCCAAGAGGCACCCACCAGTGTCTGGACGATGGCATGGTTGGTGGCGTTCATGTAGGAGTTGAGAGGGAAGGCACACTCCCCTTCACAGTAGTAGGCAGCATAGCCTTCAGGTGCAATGATCCAGTCCTGCAAAGAGAGGAGGGTGAGGCCAGGTCCTAGCCAGACTCTGCAGAGAGCCCAGGGCAGTGTCCCACCCCTGTGTGTCCCACCTTGTGTGGAGTCCTTCCTCATGGACAGGGGACACAGGCTCAGGCTATGCCCTTCTGAGTTATGGGGTCCCTTCAGGGGCAGGAAAGGGAGCGTGGTTTTTGTGAGCCCAGCAGAAGGGAAAGAGAAGCGACTTGAGGCTTGGAGGGGACACCCTTGTGCTATGTCTCCTGGACCAGAGGTGCAATAGCAGCAGGGAGTGACCCATAGATCAGAGGCCATGGCTAGAACCACCCCTGTCCTGCTAGGGATGGCGTTGCCTCAGCTCCATCCCAGGTGAGTCCACCTCACAGCCCAGACCTTGCACCCACTGGGTAAGAACAGCTACAAATAAAACCCAAATGATACTGTAAACAGTTAAAACAGTTTAATTTTTTTGCACCTTCTTTATATGTATGAACTTTGTAGATGGCAACATTTTGTTCCCATTATCAAGCCAGGGCATGTCTGTCAGTCTAAACCAGGCCTCCCTGCTGGTGCACCTTCTTGAGCAAGAGGCTAGTGACCCTCTGTGGCTCAGGTCATCCAGGCAGGGTGTTCTCTGAGCTCTGGAAATGTACTATCCTGCTGCAGGAGCACCTGGCAAGCACGCTAGAGAAACAGCATGTGCAGAACCCTCACTTCCACCACAATCGCCTGCTTGCTTGGCTCAGAAACAAACACCCAATCTGAGTCACAGAACAGGATGGAGGAAGGGAGGAGGAAGCTGGCCCTCCAGGGCTCTATTTGAACACATGGTCATATGTGGGAGAAGCAGCCAGCTAAGGGATGGGACTAGGGTGTGCATGAAGAATGAAGTTCACATTTCAGAAGCGTGGTGTTTCAAGTTCTGAACCAAGAGTCAGTCACACCTTGGGTGCCATGGGACATCATGGATGTCCTCCTATGTTCAGACCAAGTGCTTCTCTCAGGTCAGGGCTCGTGGTATCTGACATCTCACCAGCAGACAAGAGCTGTGGACTGGCCTGGGACTGAGCTGGCTGAGTGCTTGCCTAGCATACAGGACACTCTGGGTTCCTTTCCTTTCCCAAAACTAGTCATGGTGACACACTCCTGTAAACCTAGTACTTGGGAGGTGGATACAGGAGGAGTCCAAGTACAAGGTCATCTTAGGCTACACAGTGAGTTTGATGGCAGCTTAGGACATATGGGACCCGGTCCCTGAGAGGAAAAAGACATGAACTGTGGCACACTGTACCCATGGAGACAGCCCTGTGGCTGTCAGGGACGGAGAAAGCCCCAGTGTGTGGTAGCTCAACCATCCTTACCTGCCAGCCGAGGTCTCGGAAGCTGACATACAGCTCATGTTTCTTGCAGGCTTGCCTCTGGTCAGTGCTGCTGTTTTCTGCATGGACACGGAGGAAAACCCAGGGAGGAGAGAGAAACACATACATGTTCAAATCCCTTTGGTTCTGCAGGGGGGAGCAGCCCCTGCACTCAGGGGCTGAAGGGCAGTGATGGCTCAGAAGCCAGCTTGAGGATCTACAGCCTTCATGGTTACCTCTGCCCTTTAGTAGAGGCCCCCCGAGTCCCGTTCTGACTTATCCTGCCTCCAGACCACTCTGAGGAGGCCCACCAAGTCAGCCCCAAGATGCTCATGTACCTGCAGGTACAGGGGGTACAGAACCAAGGTTGGGTTCTGTACCAAAGCTCACAGCCCTCAGCAGCAGCAGCTGAGTTTCTTTATGGAACAAGAACAGGGTGCTTGGGTTTTCTAGAAGGACGGAAGTTTGTAGCATTTGGGCTGGAGAATGCACTTTGTAAACACTGGGGATCTGTCTGTCCCTCTCACACAGCTACGGAATCTTCCTCTACTCTGCAGCTGTACAAACAGTTGGTACTTAATTAATGCCTTGCCCAGCCTGACTTATCCTAGAGCTTCCCATCACCTTGTTCATCCCCTGTCCTTGCCCATAAAGCCTGGGACCCTGGTCTACACGACAGAGCCCTGCAGGCCAGGTGCCTGAGCGCTCGGGGAATGTCTCATCCTCACACACCCTACAACCACCCATACGTGACGACTGCTCCCTCTGAGCCCACTGACAGGTCACAGGGTGTCTGGTGACAAGTGACACATCCCTTCCAGTCTGCTTCTCAGAATACATAGGGATCCAACCTGCACGGTTCTGAGGTCAAGAAGAAATAACACAGGCCAGGCTGTCTCAACATAAAGGTCAAAGGTCAGGACATTATCAGAGCACAGGCCGCAGAGCTGGATAACTGGTCTACCTTCTGGAACAGCTATGGAAAAGATAGTTAAGGTGCCATTCACCACTGTGGCAAACCCGGGGGCTGCAGCTAGCACTATCCACCTGACAAGCCCCATTCCCCTCTTCTCTGTAGGGAGGCAGGAAGGAAAGAGAGAAGTGGACCAACTCCTCAGTCCAGGGTGAAGCAGTCTGAGCAAGATATGGTTCTAAGTAGGATCACCAGAGCCAGATTGCTCACAGCTCCCAGTCAGGGCAGATCCTGAAGCGAGATAGGAGAAACAGTGCAGTGACAATTAGCCATGTCTGTCACTCTGTCATGTGCAGGGAAGGGGCAGATCCCAGTGAAGATCTTTGGTTTAACATTGGAAGCTAGCTGTGGGCATGCCATGGGGGCTGGGCCCTTGCTTGTTCTATCTGGGGTTGTGGCGGCCCCAGGAGAAGGTGGTTGGAATTCCCCCAGTATTCTCAGGCCCTTCTTAGCAGAAAAGCAAGGGAAGGGAATAAAGGAGACACCTAGTTCCCTTGCCCCCAATCTTGTCCCATCCACTCCACCCAGTACAGCAGAGAGCCAGTGAACAGCACACAATGCCAGCCACCAGCGGCTGCACAGTCAACTCTGAAAGGCCCTGCCCAAGTAGCAGGCAAATTAGGACAGGCGCTCCTGTCCTAATTGCTTCCACACTGGAGGGTCAGCTGGAGAAGATGGCCAGTTCCCAGGGTGTTGGATTGAAGGGAACAAGGGATGCAGGTTCTCCACCTGCATCTCAGTAGCGGTTGGAGCCCTGGAGCAGGGGTGGCCCACAGGAAAGAGACTTTCATGAAGAGGCATGCTGGGACATGTGTCTCCAGCCGGACACATAAAAGATGATGTGCGTGCAAGAGAGGATTCAACTTGTGTGGCCCATCATGTGAGGTGTGAGCACTTCAAAGGCACTGGGCACACGCCTACGCACACGCACAGGCTGCCTCACCAAACCAGGGTGGGGCCCCAGTCCTGTTTTGTTTTTTTTTTTTTTTTTTTTTTTTTTTTTTTTTTTTTTTTTTTTTTTTTTTTTTTTTTTTTTTTACGTTAAACTTCCAGGCAGGGTTTGGAAGCACTTAAAACGAGAGTAGGGAGTTTAAATCTACAGGAGTAGGCAGAATCTGGGCCAGATGGACCAGCTGTCACTCAGGAGAGTGAGGACCCTGTCCTGGAGCTCTGGAAGTAGGATCCCTGTGAGACACCGTAGGTTGGAGCCCTCAGCATATTCCTGTCACTCCAGACGCAAACATTGTAGATCTATGAGACAAGGTCGCCTTTGCTGGCACGGGACATGCCGGAGCTTCTTGCTGGCTGAGTTTGCAAAGGCTTCTGGGAAGTTTCAGGTTCTGAAGGGACCCCTCCTTCACCCTGTGCTGTGCCCACCCTCCCTAGAGCACCCAGCATGACCTCACACCTACACTGCACACAGCCTGATACCATAAAACTCCCACTCCTGTTTGGGATGGATTTCAAACTCCAAGATGAGACTCCCAAGAGAATTCCACCCACCTGTGGCTCCAGCTGCTGCCTCCTCTGTCCCGGCCACCAGTCTCAAAGGTGTCAGAAAAACCATGAGACTTAGCACCCTCAGGGAGCAAAAGCCTCCGAAGTGGGACCAGCCTGGCCTTGCTCACAGGCCTCACTTCAGTTACCATAGGGACACTTTCTGCACCCCAGAATGAGCCGAGGAGTTAACCAGTCACCATCCCCAATCCTGGGTCAGTCACTGCATATACAGATGAGGGTGACAATCACTTCTACCTGTCCCAAATAGCTTCTATATCTAGGCTTACACCACAGAATTCTAATCCCAGCAAAAACAAGGCCCCCAAATATGAAGGAACTCAGTCTTTTTTTTTAATTTGGGGCTCACAGACCCCTCTGAGGAGCCTATAACGGGCCCTACCTGACAAGACAGCATGGTTATGAAGCCCCTATCCACGCTGAGGATGCTAGCAGAGCAGGTAGGTGTCCCTGGGTGACTGCTCAGAACAGCAGCTTGCAGGCTGTGCGTGCCTCGTCCTCAGTTAACCTGTTTTACAAATCAACTGCCCCAGGGGCTCCATGTTGGGTCTGAATGCTGAGGCAGACAGACTCTCCATCTTATTTATATAAGTAAAATAGCACCGTCAGCCGCCACGCCAGAATGCGTGTGCCGGGTCATTTATTTGTATCTATAAACAATGCCATCTAAGAATATTGCTTATGTCAGAAACATCAGACTAATGAGCCGTCCATCGTACCAGATGGAACTCTCTTACCTGGGCTAGAATTGAAGGAGCAGCCGACACAGACATGCTGGCACAGTGACCCAGGTCCTGGTCACTGGTCATGAACCTTGCCCAGGAAAATTGCCACAGGGAAGGACTCCAGCCCCAGCCCCTGTCCATCACCCTCAGCCCTCTGCAAATCAACACCAAAGCTCACGTAGATCTGCATTTGACAACTCTACTCTGGATGGACCTGAGCTCAACCTGAGACTCCTTTATCTAGTCCCCGTAGAGACTTTCCTTGCAGCCGGGTCGGCTCTGCATCTCCAGCTTTAGGACAGTCTTGCTAGGTAGCACTGCCTGCTCCCGAACCCTTCTTATCCCCTCTGTAATGCATGTGTAATATGCCATGCTTCACACGTGTAATGCATGTGTAATATGCCATGCGTCACACGTGTAATGCATGTGTAATATGCCATGCGTCACACGTGTAATGCATGTGTAATATGCCATGCGTCACACGTGTAATGCATGTGTAATATGCCATGCGTCACACGTGTAATGCATGTGTAATATGCCATGCGTCACACGTGTAATGCATGTGTAATATGCCATGCGTCACACGTGTAATGCATGTGTAATATGCCATGCGTCACACGTGTAATGCATGTGTAATATGCCATGCGTCACACGTGTAATGCATGTGTAATATGCCATGCGTCACACGTGTAATGCATGTGTAATATGCCATGCGTCACACGTGTAATGCATGTGTAATATGCCATGCGTCACACGTGTAATGCATGTGTAATATGCCATGCGTCACACGTGTAATGCATGTGTAATATGCCATGCGTCACACGTGTAATGCATGTGTAATATGCCATGCGTCACACGTGTAATGCATGTGTAATATGCCATGCGTCACACGTGTAAGACATGCTGAGTCATTAATTGTTAAGCAGTTAAGACCGACTTACTACTTAAGATTGGAATAAAAACCTATGATTGGAAGTGGCATGTCTACCAAGGGAAAGGGGTAGTTGGTGAATTAAAGCCAGTGAAACTGGCATAGCCTCTGGGTATCTCTACCCACTGAAGTCTCCCCAGGGCACTGGAGGACACCCAGAAACAGTAAGTCCAACCGCCACAGCAGGCTACCTTTTCCCTTCAGAAATTAAATGACTCAATTTCAAGACAAGAGGGAGAAGCCACGTGCAATGCAAGGTGCCCTGAAGTGGAGAGGGGCAGGGGGTGGGGTGGGGGCGAGGCAATGGCCTAGTGGCCTCACTTTTTAGTTCTAAATAGCCCAAACTCCCCTGGGTGTCTCCTCAGAATCCCAAGGCCAGGAGTTGGAAGACTGAGCCAGTTTGGAGCCCTCACAAGCAGGCTTGCTAGATTTGTATCTAGCCTTGTCTTGCTTCAAGGTCACCAGAGTCCTGGAGAAGCTGCATGCTGGACAGGCATGTCCTAGCTTACAGGCTGATCTGTTCTGGAACCACCCACAATGCATTTGCACATATGGTCCCCTTTGGCTGCTCAGACCTGCATTGGCCTACCTGCCACACTGGCCATCCTCAGTGCCTCTTGGTTCTTGGGCGTCTTGGAGCGGTTCTGGCTGCGCTGCTTGCCCCCAGTGGACCGGATGCTACGCAGATGGACCTCTGTGGCCTTGAAGAAGGCCACCATGAAGGGTTGCTTGTTCTGGGGTCCATGCCGCCCAATCAGGCCCGCCAACTTGGGGTTGATGCTCTGCCCTGCAGAGGAGGTGCTCGTTACAGAGGTGTGGGGACAGGGAAGGGGTGGGGGCACCATTCTCCTCTCACCTCACCACCCATCCACTGCTATTCATTCATCCGGGAAGGACTATCTGGGCAACCCCAGGAGCTGTTTTAGGGGTGCAGAGGTCTCAGCTAGCGCAGGGGTCTTAGTGCAGCTCACACTGCATTGGCCAGAGTGGGTCAATTGGTTGTGCCAAGGAGGTGAGCATGGAGGCCAAAGCCTGATGACAAGGAAGAGGCCACCAGAGGAGAGACCAGGTGACAATGAGGAATGAGTCCCAAGTATGTGGGAAAGTGCACTATGGGTGGAGGGCCCTGCAGAAATTAAGGCTTGGAGGGAAAACCCTGAAACCAGGAGGATGAGGGCCTGCTAGGAGAGGGAAATGGGATCACAGGGAGACAACTGATGACAGTCTGGAGGCACAGATCACCTCCAGACTGTGGCAAGCATTTTGCCTGAACGAGGTCTTGGCAGGTGGAAGCCCTTGAGAAACAGCTAGGCCATGCAGGACAGGGCTTCATGCCAGGGGCCAGGGGCCTCGTGAAAAGCGAGAGGCTACTCGTCCCCACAAATGCCAGGAACTGTCTGAAATGGAGGGGCCAGGCAGGACCTTCCTGGGCCCAGGGAAGGCACACAGACAGTGGCAACTGTGTACAGGACTTCTGCCCTTACCTGGGGACAGTTAAGCTCTGGTCCTTGGGAGCCATCAGCTTGTAGAGCTTGGTCACAGACACCCAAAGTGGAACAGGAAGGGGCTATAGAAAGCTGTGCTACTGAGCTACTGAGCCGGGGGCTTCTAAGATGACCGTGGGCTGGCCCTGAAACTGTACAAGCTGAAGGACAGAAGCCAGGGCTCGGGCTGACACAGCTGAACGGCCTAGGAGGTTCCAGCTGAGGCAGTGGAAGTGAGCCTGGTAAGAAATGGTCAGATTCCTGGGCACCCTGCCCCAGACCCTCCCGCTGCCTCTGCTGTCTGCTTAACGGTCCAAAAGATGCTGATTCCAACTTTCTGTTTGGAAAGAGTCACATGAAATTGGGGGCAGGGGAAGCCAAGCTTGGTGGTGCATGCCTGTTATCTCAGCTACTCTGGAGGCTGAGGCAGGAGGATCAAAAGTTCAGTTCTTGTGGGACACTGAGACTTGCCTCAAAATGAAAATATGAAGAAGACTTGGAATGGGATTTAGCTCAGTATAGAGTGTAATGTGTGCAAGGCTGTGAGCTCCACCCCAGTATCACACACACACACACTCACTCACATTTGCACACTCTACACACACTCAATTCACACTCACATTCACACACTCACATTCACACTCACATTTACACACTCTCACATTTACACACTCTACACACTCACATTCACACTCTCACACACTCACATTTACACACTCTATACACACTCACATTCACACTCACATTTACACACTCTCACATTTACACACTCTACACACTCACACTCACACCCATACACACTCACGTTCACACACACATACATTCTCACATTTACTCTACACACTCACATTCACACACTCTACACACACATTCTCACATTTACACACTCTACACACTCACACACACTCACATTTACACACTCTACACACACACACACACACACACACACACACACACACACACACGGGGGGGGATGGCATTTACCCACCAGCCAGCTTTCTGCAGTGGGAATACCACAGTGGCAGTAATGAGTTTCAGACCTGGAAAATAGCAGGTTTTGATGTGTTTTGAAGGAAACTTAAGGAATTTGCTGAGAAACTGTGAAAAAAGGCCGAGGAAAAGACAATTCTGCAAGACTGGAACATCCTTGGCTAAAGCCATGAAGGCTTTACAAAGATGGGAAACCAAGGCAGGGGGCTGGGGAGTGGATCATGGGAGACAAAGTATAGTTTAACCTAACAGATGCTGCGTGAAATCCCTTCCTGGAACCAAGGGTCAGGGTTAGGATGGGGGGGCAGTGTTAGGTTAGGGTTAGGATGGGGGGCAGTGTTAGGTCAGGGTTAGGATGGGGGGGCAGTGTTAGGTTAGGGTTAGGATGGGGGGGCAGTGTTAGGTTAGGGTTAGGATGGGGGGGCAGTGTTAGGTCAGGGTTAGGGTTAGGATGGGGGGCAGTGTTAGGTTAGGGTTAGGGTTAGGATGGGGGGCAGTGTTAGGTTAGGGTTAGGGTTAGGATGGGGGGGCAGTGTTAGGTTAGGGTTAGGGTTTGCAGTTACGTTAGGTTAGGGTTGTGGGTTCAGGTTTAGGTTAGGGTTAGGGTTAGGATGGGGGGCAGTGTTAGGTTAGGGTTAGGGTTAGGGTTAGGATGGGCACAGGGTTAGGGTTAGGGTTTGCAGTTAGGGTTGGGATTAGGGTTTACATTTAGGGTTAGGGTTAGGGTTAGGATTAGGGTTTAAGGTTAGGGTTAGGGTTAGGATTAGGGTTTACAGTTAGGGTTAGGGTTTATATTAGGGTTAGGGTTTACAGTTAGGATTAGGGTTAGGGTTAGATTAGGGTTAGGGCCATGTTGGCAGCCTGAGGCCCTCAGCTGGCCTGGGAAGGACCTAGGGGAAGGAACGGACAAGCTTTGACCTGGGGAGTCAGGACATATAGGCTGGGGCCAGGCTTCCTGGGTCAATGTTCTCACTTTAACAGCCCCTTCCTGCCACCACAGTATATAGCTCAGCTCAGTTCTGTGTCTTAGGGGATCTGAATCCAGGAGGACAAACATGACATTTGACTCCAAGTTCCCTCTCTCTTCCATAGAGAATCAAGGATTTGCAGCAGAGTGTGCAGGCTCCCCTAATTAGGAAAGATCTTGAAAAGCGTGGACAGGAGTAGGTACCCCCAAAAGACTCTGGAGATCCAGAAACCAGAGTTAGAAATATGGACATGAACATCCAGGCTGTAACAACCAATCTTGATTGTCAATGGAAACAAACCTCTGATTATGTATACAGGGCAGTTTCTAGACTGGGTTAACTGATATGGGAGGACCTACCCTCAGAGTGGGCAGTATTACTCCTATCTCCAGGGTGGACTGGGTCCTGGAATGATTATAAAGAAGAAAGGAGGCTGAGTATCCATTTCTGTCTGCTTCCTGGTTGTGGGTACAATGTTACCAGCTGCCTCACGCCCCAACACTGTGATAGACAGTACCACCAAGTCATGCTTCAAAACAAAGTTTTCCTAAGTTGCTTTCGTCACAACACTGAGAAAAGTGACTCACATGCAGGTCCTGGGCTGTCTGCCCCAAGGCCCTGACCGTAAGATGGCTCTGTCCATCTTCCCCTGATCAGCAACGCCGAGCTCCTTAGAAACAGCGTTTAACGTCACATCTGGTGATGGGTACCTCAGACTTTGATGGAGATGATGCTGACTGCATACAGCAGAACACCAGAGCGTCCTGCCTAAAAGCGTGCAACTCAGAGAGCAACGACCCCGAATCTGACCTCAGATGGGGCTGAGTTGCGAGGAGACACTTCACTGTTGCAGCTGCTACATCCCCAAGTCCGGTGACAGAAGCAAGGCCAGAAAAAGTGATGGTTCTGGAGCTCCTTGGCCCCTCCCCATAAGGAAGTGACATCAGCTAGTGTCCCCAGGCAGGTCAGACCTGGGGAAGCCCAGCCTCTAGTGCTTGGCTCAGTCCCGGGAGCTGGTGTGGTTTTTAAGAGCTCATGTTTAAGAAAACACATTTCCCCAACCCCCATAATTTACCTCCCCCGGCTTTCATCATCCAGCTCTCCTGCATTCTTGAGCAGGGTCCCCCCCAGTTCATCCATCTATAACATGAGCGAGTCTATAAAAGAAACCATTAAAGCTAGGCCCGGAGGACTTGTGCTTCCCCCCTGGAAGGCTTTTAGGGCAGAATAAAAATGCCTGGCCTGAAACCCTGATGCCTCTCTGGACCCCTTAAATCCAGGTGCTAAGAGTGGGCCCAGTCCTTGCAGCCATTTTGAGCTGCTGGTCAGTGCTGGAAGCTGTCAGCAAGGCCACCTCCATCGGTCACATCCTCTGCTAGGAAGGAACCAAACCCAGCACCTGCCACCAGCTGCCGGCACAGCCTTGATTTCCTCCTGTGTAAAATAGGACGAGGCCATTGGTCTCAGAGATTCCCTGGTATATGGCACACTTTCCACCTAGGCAGCTTCACTCAAGCCGACTCAGCCCTGGCCCCAGGGCTGGGTGGGATGGAGCTTGACAAGAAGCACTAATCCTCCTGGTACTGTCACCGCCTGCTCAGGGTGAGACGTGACCCAGTTGAGCCAGAACACAGAAGAGAGGTGTTCTGGAAATTTCTAGAAAACACACTTGCTGCTCTAAAGTTTGGAAGAAACTTGTTCTCTCAGCAGTGTGTAGGGAGACAGATGGCATTCCCGAAACTACCCTCTTGTTCTGAGCCCAGGGAAGCCATACATCCAAACAAGGGCTACCCATGGAAGGAACAGCACAGATGGGGTCTATTTTGACACAGCTGTCACTGGGCCAAGCCAGCCTGCAGCCTTCATTCTCAGCCCAGCCACCACCAAGACTGCCCCACCTTGATGACTGAGTCTAGAGCCTGGGATTATCCTCACCCCCTCCTCAGAGGCTGGTGACGGGAACATGGGCACAAGCTGTCTCTGGGCTGGCATGGAGCTGACCCCCGGGAGCCAGTGCTGACTCTGTCCTCATTGCCTAATCTGGGGAGAAATTCTGGCTTTCTGTGTAAAGACTGGAAGACAATCCAACTGCATTTTGTTTGCCTTCAGCAGGAAGTGGGGTCAGGAAAATGGCTGGTAGGTCTTTAGAAGAATTTAAACAAACACCTTCGTTGCCATTGTGGCTAAATTTAGAATCAGAGACACACTCAGGGAGGGAGTGTCTGTAAAGATCTCCTGAGAGGTTCTACTGAGGAGGGAAGACCACCATGAATGTGGGGGGCTGGGGTCCTACCGAGTGAGAGAAAGCCAGCTAAGCCCCAGCGTTCATCTCTCTCTCTCCTTCC